ATGTACCACTACCCAACCCAATAACCTTCTTTACCAGTCACACGCATCACGACACAACACGCCCACTCTCTCTTCACCTTTCTCCGGATGCTTCCTTCCTTTTTCAACCTCCATCATTTTAAAAGACACAGGAAATTCAGGCCAGTGAGATAGCTCAGTGGGTTAGGCCTTTTGCCACCAAGTCTGACAACTGAGTTCAATCTCTGGGACCCACATGATGGGAAGAAAGAATGACCCAAAGGTTGTCCTCTGACTTCCACAGGTGTGCCATGTGAGTGTGTGCATGCACACACACAAATAAAATATAATTAAAAAATTTTTTTAAAAGACACAGGAAATACCAGGTGAGTCTGGATTTTGCCTTGATGCTGTTTAACAGACACCAGAAAGAGAACTGCAACTCTTTAAAAGTCGCCAAAGAAACAACTAACGGAAGTGGTGTCCTCAGGACAGGCATGCATCTGCACCCATGCCCGTTCTCTTCAAGGGCAGAGGGGCCTTCCACGGCTAAGACCACAAAACATAATTCTCATGACAGCTGAGTATGGTGGGAAATACCTATCAAGTCCATTACAGGAAGCTGAGGCTGAAGAGTGAGTTTGAAGCCAGTCTGGGCTATACAGAAAGATCCTGTTTTTTAATATTTTATTTATTATTTTTATTTTATGTGTATGTGCGTATTACGTGCATGTAGGTAAGTGCATCCATGTCGTGTAATGCCCACGGAGGACAGAAGGGCTGTTGGATCCCCTGGGACTGGAGTTGTGGACAGCTGTTAGTTGCCATGTGGGTGCTGGGATTTGAACCCGGGTCCTCTGCAAGAGCAGCCAGTGCTCTTAACCACCAAGCCATCTCTCCAGTCCCAAGATCCTGTTTTTTAAAAAATTCTGGCTATTCTACAAAAGTTAGTCTCCTTACACTAGTAAACTGCTCCCAATTGCTTCCTTTGATCACATTTTCTTTTCTTTTTTTTGGGGGGGGGTTGTCTTTTTGAGACAGGGTCTCCCTGTAGCCCCAGCTGGCCTGGAACTCACTATGTAGACCAGGCTGGCCTTGAACTCACAGAGATCTGCCTGCCTCTGCCTCCTAAATGCTGGGACTAAAGGTATGCACCACCACGGCTCAGCCTAGGTCACATTTTCTAATACTTTTAAGAAAAAAACGAAACAAAGAATGCTAACATCCCCCTTAACCATTAGCAGATCTGCTTTCCAGGCTTCTTTGTCCCTCCCTGAAAGACAGTCACGTACCATCGACCCTTCATTGGTAAAGTAGTCTTCTGTCGCTCACCCAGGGCCACTCTACACCACTGGTCTTCAATAGTCATTCTGAACACTCTTGGCTGCCATGAGATGCTGAGGCCAAGAATCACACAGAGTACAACCTTTAACCTCAAAGGACATAGCACCATGCTGTTCCTAGGGAAAAACAGCCTCTAGGCTGACTTTGGTGTTTGGAGATCACAAACACAGGGAAAGGGTCACAAACAGACAATGCTCTTATTACTGCACGTTATGGCAGGGCACAGCTCAGTGGCAGAGACACCATCTAGCATGCACAAAGGAAAAGAAACAGCCTTGTTTTGCCCTGACAGTGGACTGACTTCGCACTCACAGTAACACATAAGAACAGTTTAGCTAGGCAGGATAGCTTAAGCCTTTGATCCCAGCACTTGGGAGGCAGAGGCAGGCAGATAGATCTCTGTGAGATCGAGGCCAATTTGGTCTACACAGTAAGCACCAGACCAACTGGGTCTATAGGGAGACCCTTGTCTCAAAAACAAAGCAAAAAACAAACCAAAACAAAACAGTCTGAGTTATAACCAAGAACTTGAAAATAATACATAGAAATCCAAACTCTGAGACTGGGACTATCAAAAGTTTAAAGCCAGCAAGCCTGGGCCACACAGCAGACTGTCTCAAAACCACACAAAAAAAACACTAGGATGTTGCTCAGTGATGGCAAACAGCATGTACAAGGTCCTCGGTTTCCTCCCCACCCCACCCCACCATTTATTCACTAAATAAACAGTCACTGTGGACCTGCAATCAGGTAGTGTCTGCGTGCAGGACAGCACGGAACAAGGAAAATCTCCCATAGCGAGCTTGTTCTAATGGGGATGCAGAGGGGGGACACACCATCATAGGAGGTGTGGACACAGTCATCCTTCTCCACATAACACACGACATGAAAAAGTCATGGATTCTATGGTTAGATGCCCACCAATGGTTTGCCTTAAAAGCAAATGTAAATACATTTAAGAGAAAAGAAACAAAGTAGTTAATTTTGGTTGTCAACTTGAACAAATTTACGATCATCTTGGACACATACTCTAGATATACCCACAAGGGTATTTCCAGAAATGTTTAACTGATCAGGGAAGACCCACCATCCTATGGATTTGGGTCCTAGACTAATGCAACAGGAGAACACACCTATGTCAAGCAGCTCACAACCCCCTGTAACTCCAGTTCCAGGGGAGCCAATGCTTTCTTCTAGCCTCTGTTCCAGGGGAATCCGAAGCCCTCTTCTGACCTCCGTGGCATTGCATGACATGGGTGCACTCACATACATGCAGGAGATACACTCATACACATAAAATAAAAATAATAAAATATTAACAAAAAAAATCTAAAATTAAAAAAGGAGAAAGTGGCTGGGCATAGTTAAACATGCCTTTAACCCAGCACTCAGAGGCAGGGGGATCTCTGTGAGTTCCAGGCCAGCCAGGGCTGCACAGTGACACCCATCTAAATAAATAAATAACTTGGGGGGGGGGGGGAAGCAATGCAGAGAGATGGCTCAGCGGTTAAAATGCTTGCCTGTCTTCCAGAGAACCCAAGTTTGGTTCCTAGCACCACATCAAGCAGCTCACAACTGCCAGTAACTCCTGCTCCAGGGAATCCTATGCCTTCTTCTGGACTCCATGGGCACCAGGCATGAACATATATATACATACATGCAGGCACTCACACACACATACCATGTTCAGTCCCCAACACCACCCACACACACACACACACACCGCTTTCTCTCTCTCTCTGTCTGTCTCTCTCCTCACACCCTAAAAGATGGTTTTCTCAGGGGTCAGGGTCTCAACCCTCCCAACACATTATGAAAATGAGAAGCCTATAAATCTGCTCCCCAACAGCCCTTCGGCCATCTCTAATCAGCAATGCAGCTCACAAGCTCCAGTCATTAATGTCATCCAAGCTGTACAGCCTATCTAAATGAACAGGGTCTCTGCTGTGAGATCCACATTCTAGTTTGTTTCTCCATTGCTGTGACAAAATACTCTGACCAATACCAACTTGGGGAGGAAAGGGTTTATTTAGCTTACATCTCCTGGGTCACAGTTCATCAGGGAGCCCAGGGCAAAAACTCAGGGCAGGAACCTGGAGGCAGGAGCTGGAGCACAGGCGACGGAGGAACGCTGCTTACTGGCCCCTGATCAGACTGCTTTCTTATGTAACCCGGGCCCACCTGCCCAGGGATGGCACCACCCATAGTGGTGCCACCCACATCACTCAGCAATCAAGAAGATGCCCCGCAGACATGGCCACAGGCCAGTTCCATGGAGGCAATTCCCCAATTGAGGCTCCCAGGTGTGTCAAGTTGACACTAAAGCGATCTAGCACAGATTACAACCATAGTTTCTCACCTCAATCCTCAGGGATGATTATGAAAATCAAACGACCGAGCAAAGGTTTCTGAACACAGTTGTTCAGACTGGCACAACCACCCCCAATGCATGCACCATGTCTTTTCCTAGAGAAGGAGAATCTACAGTCAAAGTACAAATTCCAGGTGTCAGCACAGTCCAAGGATCAGCGCTATCTCCTAGACATTTCTTCCAAGACATACAGCCTTTGTATCGTAGAGCCGGTCAGGGCAGCGAAGAGGCTCTGCCACCTGGTCCTGTCTTTGCACTTGGACTTCTGTATATGGGGAAGATTAGTGACAAAGCTGCTGTGAGGGGCTGAGACAGGTTCTATTTTTGACCTTGGATACAGAGCCACAGAGGGGCTCAGCAGATGCTCAGCAGTTAAGAGCACTGGCTGCTCTTGCAGAGGACCCGGGTTTGACTCCCAGCACCCACATGGCAGCTAACAACCATCCTAACTCCAGTTTCAGGGGATCCAATGCCCTGGTGTGACCTCTGCTGGCATTGCACAACATGGTGCGCTTACATATACGCAGGCAATACACTCATACACAAAAAGAGCCACAGAAGCAGGCAGTCTAAGTCATGCCCAGGAACACTGTCCACCTTTGAAGTAGGGTCTCTCATTGGTCTGGAGTTTACCAATTAGGCTAGACTGACTAGCCAGTGAGCCTCAAGATCTACCAGGCCTTTTGCAAGCTCTTTACCAACTCAGCCAAACCCTCAGCCTCTGCACACTGCTTTTGTTCTGACTGTGTATATATTACTTATCCCGTGACCCTTTGGTCCTCACCGTCCTTGAGATCCAGCCTTCTCTAACCCCTCAACAGGGCCAAGAACAGTGGTTGTGAAGGGTACATTCAGAATACCCAGTGCTGGGCTATGTGAGACGGTTTCAAACAACCAAAAAACTTGAAACAACCAACCAAAAAAGAAAAGTGCTCAGTACCTTGACAGCACCCATGGCCACTCCTATTACTATAAGAATCCACACTGGGGGTGGGGTTAGGGTTGAAGACACGGTTCAGCAGTTAAGGGCACTGGCTGCTCTTGCAGAGGAACTGGGTTTGGTTCACAGCACCCACATGGCAACTAAAAATCATCTGTTAACTCCTGTTTCAGGGGGATCCGATGCCCTCTTTGGGCCTCCATGGGCATTGCATGCATGTGGTGCATGTATATATATGCAGACAAAACACTCACACAAATAAACAGCACAAATTTATAATTAAAACAAAACAAAATCAACCCTGAATTGTTATTCATATGAAAAGCTAATGCACGACATCATTAAGGTGTCTCAGGGGAAGATGGATGCCTAATGCAGTGCTCTTACCTGGGTATTGTCTGTATGATGAAAATATCTTGGCCTCGAACAGACTCTTTGATTTCAACTCTTGTTTCTGGGGAAAAAAAAAAGTTCTCAGGCTTTAAGAAAAGCACTGCATGACACGGTACAGAGCATTCAGAGTGAAGAGGGTTCCAAACCATCTTACTTGGTACAACCAAGTAGATTCTTAACCAACTTCAGAAAATACATATATTAAAAGTAGTCAAGCTGGGGGAAAAACCAAAAATAGAAGAAAAAACTAAACAATGGATCCATGTAGTCTCAGGATCCAAAAGACTCCACAAACTACGACCAAAATGAAGCTTTACAGAAGATGCTTGAGAAAGCGTCTGCAGTAAGAGGCTGAAGGCCGACACTGTACCCCTCATATTACTCCTTCAGCAAACGCTGAGGCCTCCTCTGTGACAGACCCTGTGCGGAGGACCTGGAACAAAGACAGAAATGAAGGTGGACCTCAGAGTGACCCGACATGCCAGACAAATCAGTCATGATAAATGACAGGACAAGGACAGTCTCGCAGCAAGCTGGCATGCAGCGAAGGGGTAGGGGAACACGGGAAGCTGGGGCAGGTGTGGTCACTTAGGCCACCTGGGAAGCAGAGTGACTGAGAGGAAAGAAGTCATCAGGAGGTCAAGAAGCCAACCACACAGAACTCCAGATTCTCTAAGTGGGACGGGAAAGGAAAGTCATTAGAGAATTTGACGTTGGGAACAGTGACAGATGTTTTCTGTTTCTCAGGGTTTTTTTTTTTTTTTTTTATTTTATGCATGTCTGTGTGCAGGTGACTGTGGAGGCTAGAAGAGGGTGTTAGATCCCCTGGAGCTGGAGTTACAGGTGGATATGAACCACGAAACATGGGTGCCAGGAACCAATCTCCAGTCCTTTGTAAGAGCAGTAAGCGTTCTAAACCACTGAGCCATCTTCAGCTTTGAGTGACATTTTAAAAAACAATTGCTAGTGGCACACACCTTTAATCCCAGCACACAGAAGCAGAGGCAGGCAGATCTCTGTGAGTTCAAGGCCAGTCTGGTCTACATAGTGAGTTCTAGGCCAGCTGGGCCTACAGAGAGACCGTCTCAAAAAAAAAATTTGCTGGCTACTATGAGGAAAAAAACCTGTGGTAGGGCAGAAGTAGCAATATGGAGGTCTAGGAAGGCTACACAGAGGCAGGAGCCCAAGGCGTGGTGATGGATGTGACTGAACACCGGCATGTAGGTGGGCAGAGCAGATCCAAAGGGCCCATGACTGAAAGCAAGTAGATGCCAGGCTCTGGGGCAGCGGAGGCCAAGCACCTAAACCAAAAAATCTGAAATACTCCCAAACATGAAACCTTTTCGGTGCTGATGACACTCAGAACAAAAGCTTTGGATTTTGGTCAGTGGCTCACAGAACTGATGCCACGCCGCTCTGAAGTCCGACCACTTTTCTTCTTTCTTCTCTTCCACCTCTGTGGGATGCTGACGAAGCCTCATCCTGTTCTCTCTGGCGCTTTGGGTGTCACATGCTTTCTCTGCCGCTACACCCACTTTTTACCATGTGCTGCTTGCTGAACGTGCGGCCTACCTCCAAGGCATAGCTTCTCTCTTCCTCTTCTCTATATCCCTCTCCTGATGGCCGTCAAGAGTTGCGGCTGGCCTGCGTTGCTGCTCTTCTCTTAAATAATAAAAAATTCCTGGAGCTTAAAAAGTTTTGGGTTTTGGAGCATTTCAGATTTGGGATGTGTAACCAAGTCTATGTTAATATTTCTAATTCTAAAAAACTTTAAATCTGGGGGCTGGAGAGATGGCTCAGTGGTTAAGAGCACTGGCTGCTCTTGCAGAAGGCCCAGGTCGATTCCCAGCACCCACATGGCTACTAACAACTGTCCGTAACTCCAGTTCCAGGGGATCCAACACCTTCTGACCTCCATGGGCATAAACACAGGTGCACTTACACACACGCAGACAATACACTCATACACATAAAAAATAAAAATAGCCAGGCGTGGTGGTACACGTCTTTAATCCCAGCACTCGGGAGATAGAGGCAGGCGGATCTCTGTGAGTTCAAGGCCAGCCTGGTTTACAAAGGGAGTTCCAGGGAAGCTGGGGGTAAAGGGAAACCCTGGCTCAAAAAAACCAAAAAAAAAAAAAAATATATATATATATATATATAAAAAACCCTCTGAATCTGGAATACATCTGTTCCCAAGGATTTCAGATGCCAGACACTCAACCCGTGGCAAAGAATCAGTAGTTAATTAAGAATATTTGCATTTTAATGAGCTTGGGGACATAGGAGATGGCTCAGCAGTTAAGAGCACTGACTGTTCTACAGAGGACCAGGGTTCGATGCCCAGCACCTACATGATGGCTAACAATCATCTTAACTCCAGTTCCAGGGGATGTGACAACCTCTTCTGACCTGAGGGCATTGCGTAACACAGATGCACTTATACACAGGCAGGCAATGTACTCATACACACAAAATTAAAATAAGAGGGCTGGAGAGATGGCTCAGCAGTTAAGAGCACTGACTGCTCTTGCAGAGGACCCGGGTTCGATTCCCAGCACCCACATGGCGGCTATGAACCATCCTTAACTCCAGTTCTAGGGGAATCTGAAACCCTCTTCTGACCTCCGCAACATCACACGACATGGGCGCACTCACATACATGCAGGCAATACACTCATACACATTTAAAAAAAAAAAGAATATTTTTCAAAAAGGAATTGTGCCAGACATGGTGGCACATGCCTTTAATCTCAGTACTCAAGAGGCAGAGAAAGATGGATCTCTGTGAGTTCAAGCTGGGGCTACGGGGAGACCCTGTCTCAAAAAGACCAAAAAAAATAAAATAAAATAATCTGTGTATTCAAGGCCAGTCTGGTCTACACAGTGAGACCAAAACTAAAAATAAAATAAAATAAAATAAAATAAATAAATAAATAAAATAAATAATAAAATAAGATTTTAAAATTTTTATTTATTTTTATTTTTTTGTCTTTTTGAGATAGGGTCTCCCTGTAGCCCCAGCTGTCCTAGAACTCACTGTGTAGGCCAGGCTGGCCTCGGAACTCACAAAGATCTACCTGCCTCTGCCTCCCAAGTGCTGGGATTAAAGGCATGTGCCACCACACCCGGCAAGAAATTTTTTTAAAAAAGAATTAACAATATAATAATTCTCCATATAATCCAGAGAGAAGCAAAACTGGTTTACCAATCTAGCGTGAGTCTACAAGAGATGTGGAAAAGTAAAATAAAAATGGGCAGAATTTGAGTGTGTACAGGTGTGCATGCACATGTGGGTGTGTGTATGTCAAAGTAGGTGTCTTCCTCAACCATGTTCTGCCTTAGGTTCTGAGACAGGGTCTCTCACTCACTGATAGGTTGGCTGGCCAGTGAACAACAGAGATCCACCTGTCTCTGCCCCTCCACTGCTGGGGTTACAGGTCACATCACCACACCCTGAGTTCTAACATGGGTGCTGAGGATCTCAGTAAGCACTCTGAGCCATCTCCTCAGCTCCCGAAGGGAGCCTTTTTTTTAAATTTTAATTTTTAATTTTATTATTTTTATTTTATGTGTATGTGTGTATTGCCTGCATGTAGGTAAGTGCACCTGTGTCGTGCAATGTCCATGGAGGATAGAGGAGGTGTCAGATCCCCTGAAACTGGAGTTACAGGCAGTTGTTAGCTGCCATATGGATGCTGGGACTCAAACCCAGGTCTTCTGTAAGAACAACCAGCGTTCTTAACCTCTGAGCCATCTCTCCAGCCCCCCAAAGACAGCTTTTTAACAAGGCATCACTCCTAGTACCAGACTGCTCTGGCTGTCATTTGATGACCTAGAAAGTAAGCACAGGAACTATTTACTAATAGAACCCAATTTAAAAAGATTCTAGAAATGCCGGGCGTGGTGGCGCACGCCTGTAGTCCCAGCACTTGGGAGGCAAAGGCAGGCAGATCTCTGTGAGTTCAAGGCCAGCCTGGTCTACATAGCGAGTTCTAGGCCAGCTGGTGCTACAGGGAGACCCTGTCTCAAAAAGACAGAAAAAAAAAAAAGGCCAGCTATACCTAGCTAGTATAAAAAACCAGAGGGAGGGGCTAGAGAGATGGTTCAGCAGTTAAGAGGACTGACTGCTCTTGCAGAGGACCCGGATTCCGGACCCTTCTCATATAAACCTACAGCAATGGCAGTAGGCAGACAAAAGCCCAGCACAGAACTGTGGAAATGAACAGCAGGCCCCAATCTTAGTTGAAGAATTACTGGCAGCTGATTACTGCTGGGTGAGGAAGAGCTGATCTTCTCTCGAAGGGAGACTCTAGATAGGCTGACTAAACCCCAGAGGATGAACTTGCACTGAGGGACATCTGGGGACACTAACTTTACATAATAGGCCTTAACACAAATGACAGAAGGTATGAACTCCAGTGAGGGGGCTATGGGAGGTGCCAGAGGGGAAGGGGGTATGAAGATGATTTTCTGTATGGAATACACAAAAATTCAATTAAAACAAAACAAAAACATCACTATTAAGGTATGATTGCTGCATCTGACTGAAGCAGGGGGATCACAGTTCTAAACCAGACTATGCTCCACAGTGAATTCCAAGAGAGCCAGGGCAACATGGTGAAAACCTGTCTTGGTGGGACACACACATATGTACATACATACATACCCCCCAGGGCCATGGACACAGATGGATGTTGACAGGGGTGTTGGGAGCTGTTAGTCTATTATGTACATTGAGCTGTGGCAGGCTTACTGAGTTTGTGTTATGCACACCAGTACCTAATCTGCCAAATCAGGAGGAATGTGTTTATATGGAGAGCCTCACAACACCTGACCTGGAGGCAATAGTGGTAGACAAAATGATCAAAGAAGCCTTTGAAGTATTTGACCGCTCCTTGACCCTCAGATACAGGTGGGAAAACAGCTGTTGAAACTAATTGAGTTCTTCTGTATAAAAAGGCAGAGCTGAAATAAACCGGGGCTGCAGTCTCTACTGACAGCCCTCCCAAGTATCTTTTCTGTCTCTTGTTTTTTCTTTCAATCCTTACTCCCCCTTTCAGGTACTGTCCGTCTTGGCCAGCTGCCACCGGCACAGGGGCATCACGAATGATGGACATAAAGCTGGTGCTCTTGAGACTTGGGAGGCAAAAGCAAGGGGATGAGGAATTCAGGGCTGTCCTCAGCCACACAGCGACCGTCAGCCTGAACCCCAGCACTGAGGAGACAAGAGGATCGGAAGTTCAAGGCTGATCTCAGTTACATAGCAATTTTGTGGCCAGCCTAGATTACAAGAGATCCTCCTTTAAAAAAAAAAGAAAGGGGGAGGGAGGCCTGGAGAGACGGCTCAGCAGTTAATACCACTGACAGCTCTTGCAGAGGACCTGGGTTCAATTCCCAGCACCCACATGGTGGCTACAAACCGTCCTTAACTCCAGTTCCAGGGGAATCCGAAGCCCTCTTCTGACCGCCTCAGCATTGCACGACACGGGTGCACTCACATACATGCAGGCAATACACTCATATACATAAAAAAAAAAAATATTAAAAAACAAAAGCTGGTGTGGTGGCACACTCAGAGGGAGGCCCTATCTCAAAAAGACAAACAAACAAAAAAATAATAAATAAATAAATGAAATGACTTTAACTCACCTCCATTGGTCTCCTGGTATACAACAGATTTCCCCAATTCAGCACCAAGACGCCTGTTACACAAGGGAAAAAAGAATTTTAAAACTCTCTCTTTTAAAATCTTCCAGTTCTGCTGGACCTGGTGGTGCACGCCTTCGATCCCAGCACTCGGGAGGCAGAGGCAGGCGGATCTCTGTGAGTTCAAGGCCAGCCTGGTCTACATAGTGAGTTCCAGGACAGCTGGGGCTACAGGGAGACCCTGTCTCAAAAAGACACACCCCCCCACCCCCCCACCCCCCGCAAAAAGCTTCCAGTTCTACTAGATCTGGTGGCCCCTGAAGTCTCAGCATCTGGGAGGCTGAGGAGACTTGCTGTGAGTTCACGGCAAGCCAGCACCGTCTCAAAATAAGTAGGCAAGACACAGATGGACCAGAAACTCAATATATAAAACAGATAAAGTATTTATAGATATTTGTTATTTATAAGAACTTAAAACCTTTCTGGAACATGGCAATAAAGAATTTAGAGTTCAACAAATGAGGCAAAGCCACTGACTTTAAAGTGTGTTCCTTCCCTCGGGCTTTCTCAAGGCAAGGTCATGTGTAGTACATTTGACCCAATATAAACAAACACAAGCCCCTAGTTTAAAGTTAGTTATTTTACTTGGCCTCAGTAAAAAAGAGAAATAATCAGAGGTTAGAATAGAAAAACTAGGTAGCAGATTGCAAAAGAACTGTTTTCTTTCTTTTGAGACAGGATCTTACTATGTTTGGTATTTGGCCTGAAACTCAGAGGTCCATTTACTTCTGCCTCCTTAGTGCTGGGCTTAAAGGCCTGAGCCACCACACCCCGCCAAGAATTGCTTTTCTTACTCGCCCCTAAACTCACTTAGAAGTCCAACTGAAAGGCTGGGTGTGGTAACACACACCTTTAAACCCAGAATTATGGAGGCAGAGAAGGCTGATTTCTATGAGATCCAGGCCAGCTGGGGCTACAGGGAGACCCTGTCTCAAAAACAGGGGGGGAAGGGGGCTGGAGAAATAGCTCAGCGATTAAGAGCGCTGGCTGCTCTTCCAGAATCCGGGTTCAGTTCCCATCACCCACATGATGTCCAGTAACAGCTCCTAAGCCCAGTTTAAAAGGATCCACCGCCCCTTCTGACCTCTGTAGGCACTGTACAACATTGGGTGCAATACACATGAAAACTCTGTAGCCACTGCTGGCCTGTAGACCAGGGTGGCCTCGATCTCACAGAGATCCATCCACCTCTGCCTCCCAAGTGCTGGGACTAAAAGCAAGCACCACCACACCCAGCTTGTAGCTAAAGATTTTTGAGATGTCCTGACAATGACTTTAAATGTTCAAGACTGGAGTCAGGACACACATCTCTAATGTCAGCCCCCAAGAGGCTGAGGCAGGAGGATCCTTACTGGGGAGGCTGACCTGGGTCACACATAATGAAACCCTCCCATCTCAGAAAACAAAAACCAAACACATACACGCATACTAAAAAAACAAACAAAACGGGCCAACCCATGCACTTTATTTTGTATTTCTAACATGTTTGTTTCAAAAAGGACCAATAAGGCAACTTCCTTTCTATCAGAACTCCGGGCTTCTCCAAAGATCAAGAGGCTTTTTAGTAAACAGGTGTTGTCATTGAGAGGCCCTGCTCCAGAAGGATTTGTCTCCACTATCTCCCACCGAGTTCAGGCTCTCATTTCTTATCCCTGTCCAAGAGAATCACCCTCGGTTTGCAAAGTTCAGAAAAATCACGTCCCTCACCCAGTGTCAGAGAGCTGATAAGAGGCAAGCCTGGGAAGGCATCTCAGGGCCCCAAAGGCCACCTGAGGTCAGAGGCATCTTCGGTTCAACGCACACTAAAGCAACGTCTTGCCTGAACTGACCCAGCACAGAGCTGACTGAACAAAACAATCAATCCCGGCTCTCCCTAGCCCCGACCTCCGTACTTCCACACCTGAGGTCTGGGGCTAGACCCGCAGCAGCGTTCTTATCGGTTCATTAAGAACAGGGAAGGGCAATGGTCAGATGCAGAAGACAACTCCCAGCACAGGGCATTCATTAAGAAGGGGGGGGGTTCATTAGGAAGGGGGATTCATCAAGAAGGGGGTTCATTAAAAGGGGGGCTCACGAAGGGGGATCATTAAGGAGGATTAGGAAGAGGGCTCATTAAGGGGGATTCACTAAGAAGGGGAGTCATAAAGAAGGGGATTCACTAGGAAGGGGGGGGATCACTAAGAAGGTTCGGAGGCCCTGGGAGGGAGGGCATCGGGGAGACCCAAGGCCGGGGTACCGGGCTCTGCCCAGCTGCAGGGTGCAGGGAGTCCGACCCCGGGAGGGACCCCGCTTACTCGGTGATGCGCTTGGCCAGCTCCGTGCAGGCGGCCGTGGAGTTGGCTGAGAAGACTCGGTAGCCGGTGCGAGCGGCGTTCATGGCCGGAGGGGCGGCGGGGCGGGCTCGCGGGACGCGGAGGGCCGAGCACGCGGATAGGGGGGGCAGCAGCAGCAGCTTCTTGGGCATCGTCCGGCCCGAGGCGCGGTGACGGATGCCCGCGCTGGGCCGGGACCGGGCGTGGGGGCAACGGAGGAGACCCACAGGAGAGAAGGGGTAGGGAGCCCGCAAGCGCCTCCGAGCCGGACACCAGGCCGCGCCCCCTCCAGGAGACCGAGACGCACGGCTAGAGCGTCCTCTCGGCCGCCATGTCAGAAAAGGGCAAGGAGGTGGGCAACACCTGGCAAGCCTGTTCTCCTGAGAGATGCGACACGGAGCCGTGAGGCCGCCTGATTCTGAGTCTCCTAGAAGAGGTATTTTATATTCAAGCTATTGGGTGTCACAGCCACGCTGTGCAATGGTCCCAGACGTCTTCAAATATTCCTGCCAGGAGCCAAGATGTCGGCCGCCAGGGGGCGTGGAGACACTCTAGTTCTGGACCTCTATGGTAAATAACTGCGCTGGTGCCCTCCTATGCGCATGCGCTTGATTGGGATCTATTTGAAAAGTGGAGGGCGGGGTTATTTGGAGCTTCTTGCCGGCAGTTCTAAAGTGCTGCGAAGTTGGTCGGCTCCAGATCCTCGTCGTGAAAGGTTTCCTAAGGCAAGGTAATATATTCATTTATCCTTGTGAGCATGTCTTCCTTCATAACTAGGATGTAAGGATTATAAGCCCTAGTCGGGGACCATAGCAGGAAAAGGGCAAATAAACTCTCTACTTACCCTATAACCTGTTACCTGTTCAAGAGGGGCCCCGTCTTCCCCTCCCGTTCTTTCAGTAACCGATGTCCCTTTCTCTGTCTTCCTGCTATTTCAGTATTATCCAAGGACCAGATACCAGGTGCATCATAACACAGGGGTGAAGACACAGTGTCTCCAAGATAAAATGACCATTGATCGAATCTTACGCAAAGAAAAGAACTGAAGAATACCACATTCATGCTCTAGCAACCCCGTGAGAGCTCGACCTTCCCTTGTTTCTGGGGCAGGCTGATCTCTGTGGCAGTGTTTCCCCTCTCCCACTAAAGCCTTCTGTATGTTCATGTTCCTTGACTATTTGTTATTTGTTTTTATTTTTGAGACAGCATCTCCCTGTAGCCCCAGCTGGCCTAGAACTCCCTAGGTAGACCAGGCTGGCCTTGATCTCGCAGACATCCACCTGCCCCTGCCTCCCAAGTCCTGGGATTAAAGACTTGCCTCCAACACCCCCCCCTGTTTTTTTTTTTTTTTTTTTTTTTTTTTTTTTTTTGAGATGGGATCTCTCCCTGTAGCCCCAGCTGGCATTAAACTCACTATTCTGCCTCAGCCACCTCTGTGCTGGGGTGAATCAGAACACCCTACACCTTCATTTCCACTGTCACTGATGTGCTTGATCTCATACTGTGACAAATACTTGAGGAAGACATGTCAAAGGGAGTAATTGTGTATTTGAGCCCATGGTTTCAGCGGTGTCAACGGCCAATCCAGGGTTGGCTGAACCATTGCTTTGAGTCTGGGACAAGACAGCATATCATGGCAGGAGTCCATAACCAAGGCTGCTTTCCTCATGGTGGCTAGGAAGAAAGACAAAAAAAGAGGGCCTTGGACAAGACATAGCTCCCAAACACATGCACCTCCTTCCCCTAACTAGGCCTCACCTACCACAGGTCTGCCACCTCCTAATGTCTATTTAAATTTTGAAATCATCTATGGATTAAACCACTACTAGATCATGAATTTAAGGGGTGTGCTTTATTGTCCTTTCAGGTGTCTCAATGCAATCAAATTTACAGTCAAGGTTAACTGTAATACCCTCATAGAGATACAGTGCAGTTTTCCATCAGATTAGGAGCTAATAAAGCCAGGGGTCAGAGAGGGGGCTAATGCCTAAAAGTACTCTCAATCCTAAGGGGAGGCAGAGTGGGAGGCATAATTACTTCATTCTAGGGGCAAAGCCATTAACCGATTACATTAGCTCACCACAGTTACAACAGACCAGGGGCAGGTCAGTTAACAAAGAAGTTTTCAGTTAACAAAAAGTTTCAGTTAGGAAAAACAAGTTTCTTAGAATTGTAGAAACAATGGGATCCATGGAAATGCTGGAGAGGCCATGCTACCTGGCTATTTGTATGTATATTTCCCAGCATTGTAGAAACAATATACCTAGGACTAGTTCTGCATGGCTGACTGCAGAGGGGGTGGGGGTGGGGTAAAGCAAAAGTCAGCTAGAGCAAAATGGAGTCAGCTTCGCCATTTCATAACCATCATACCGAGGCAAAAGTTCCTGTGTTTGGCATCAAACGCTCTTTAGCACATGATCCTGTTATCTTAGTGCTTAGTATTTCCTAGAATTCAGAGCAGAGTTATGGGTTCCACAGACGCTACATCAGTTCTTATTAAATATGGTGGCCCACCCAAAAGAAAATAAAGAGCCGGAAGCAGTTGGAGTCACCAATTATCAGCTGCCCCAGAGCAGAAGGAGGGAGGTCATACCTTTCATGCTGATATTACCAACCTTTTTTCTTTTCCTGGTGGTGTTGGGAACCAAATGCTAGTCCAGTGCTCTGCCACTGAGCTGGTTCTCCAACTTTGCATTACCATCTGCTAAGAAGAGCTGTTGTGACATGGACCGAAGGGATAAGAGATTGTAACTGAGCATGTCTTTGGCCTGATAGTTCAGGCTTTGGAATTGGAACCTCCCTGGGGTCAGCAGCAACTTGATTTATGTCCTCTGTTGCTTCAGAATCACTGCCCCATTTAGCCAACCCCTCTCTCTTATGACAGGTCAACTAAACTGAAGGAAACCAAATACACTGTATGGCTTGCTTAGGCTGAATTACATAATCACTGCAATACTTGTCCCCCTAAGGAACTTGGACAGAAGAAATCTTTATTGCCTTCTGTCCTAGTTTGTTTCTTCATTGCTGCGACAAAACACTCTGACAACTTCCAACTTGGGGAGGAAAGGGTTTATTCAGCTTATATCTCCCAGGTCACAGTTCGTCAGGGAGCCCAAGATAGGAACTCAGGGCAAGAATCTGGAGGCAGGAGCTGGAGCACAAGCCATGGAGGAACGCTGCTTACTGGCTTGCTTCCCTGACTCCTGTTCAGCCTGCTTTCTATGCAACACAGGCCCACCTTCCCAGAGGTAGCACCACCCACATCACTCAACAATCAAGAAGATGCCCCATGGATATGGCTACAAGCCAGTCCAATGAAGGAAATTCCCCAATTGAGGCGCCCTCAACCCAGGTGAGTCAAGTTGACACTAAAGCTATCCAGCACACCTTCTAAAACCCAGGGGAATGGAGATAGGTAAGCATAGGGAATAGTTTAATAACTAGTAACCTGGAAATGTACTTGGCCTGGGTTATGTCACCGGCCCCCCGTAATAACACTTGGCAGCCTAGTTCCTTTACATGGATGTACTATGAATACACATTGCTCTCTGAACAATGCACCTAGCAGCCTTGGATGGACATCAGACTATATGTACACCCCTCTTTGAACAATAGGATAAGTTTCCCCTCCCTTAACAACACTCAAACTTGAATAGTTTCTATTGAAACATTCCCAGCATGTTGTAGTGCAGGGTAGGAAGGACACATCTAGCCTGAACTGGTTTTTGTGTAAGGCAAAACTATCCTCAAGTAAATGTTTAGGGAGAATAGCCTATGTACCATCTTATGTCTGTGCATAATTAGGCATGCATATGATTAAAATAAGATGCATCATGGGAAGGGGCATGCATAGGAGAAAATCTGATTCTATGACCTAATCTGTCAATCAAAACAGAGAACCAGCCTCACTATACCCCTTAGCAACCAAACTCTTCTTTGAAGCTGATAAAAGGAAACCCCGAACACCAGCTGGTGCCTTTGCATTTCCTTACTCATGTGGAGTGCTGCTGTCTTGCGGTGTGTTGTGTCTTTCTGTTTCTTTGCTTTATTTTAAATAAAGTCCCCTTGCTACTGTATTTCATTTTTAACAAAGTTTATGTGTATGAGTGTTTTGCCTGCACGAATGTAAATGTACCCATTTGTGCAATGCCTGGAAAGGCAGAAGAAGGTGTCAGATCCCTTGGAACAAGAGTTACAATAGTTGTGAGCCACGATGTGGGTGCTGGAAACCAAACCTAGGTCCTCTGCAAGAGCAGCCAGTGCTCTTAACTGCTGAGCCATCTCTCCAGCCTCTCCTTGCTACTTTTATAACCTGTGTGAGCCTTTACTTCAGTTATTCGGAGAAGAGACCAAGAACCATTAACAAGAACTGATATCGGAACCATTTGCCTTCAGATTTTTCTCTGTATGTGTCATAGAACCCCACAAACTTTAATCCACAGCAAACTGAACCCATCTTCATTTTCTCAGTTCTCCCCTAAACTGCACACCTTCCTCTAGTCCCTGTAAGTGAACCTAACCGTCTGGTCCCCATCCAAGAATTCCAGGAGTCATCCTTTGCTCTCTCTCTGTCTTTTCCCTGACTCTCTACATCTACCCGTTCCTCCACATGTTAACTTTCGTTGAGCACCAACTGTTTACCAGGCCTCTTTTACATACTTGGTTTATTTAGATGAAGAAAAAGACAAAATTTTCTAACTGGGAGGAGATTTACAGTTTAGTAGAGGAGGGAATTTTGGAAAGTCAAGCCTAATTACTTGGCGTGTTCACAGGTATATACATTTCTTACCGCTTTGGAAACAAATTACCATGAACTTTGTGGCTTAAAACACCATGAATATATGATCTAATCATTTGAAGGTCATAAATCCTAATACCCAGGTGTCACAGACCTGCATTCCAGAAGGATGCTCTGGGGGAGAATCCACATCTTGCTGCTCGTTCGCTCTCTACAGGCCACTTGGTGTCCTTTGTCCCCATCCTCCGTCTTCAAAAACAGAAGCATAATAGAAATATTAAATGTGTGAGGCAACACATAGGCCAGGTACTCTGATTTACACATTGTGTGTGTGTGTGTGTGTGTGTGTGTGTGTGTGTTCGTTCTAATGTCAGTCTATCCAGGGATCCTGGTTCATACCTGTAATGCCAGCACTTGGGGGTGGAAACAGGAGGATCAGGTGTTCAAAGCCTGTCTTGACTACATAGTGAGTTGGAGACCAGCCTGGGCTATATGAGACCCTATCTCAAAAAACAAAACCAAAAGTAAATGCCACTCTGTACCCCACAAATATAC